AGGTTCACAGGTTGCCCATGGGCATGGCCAGACAGTGGCCACATGGCTGTGGGCCTCTGCTGTCTTAAGCAGGTTGGGTTTCAAGGAGGAGGCAATCCTACTTGATGTGGCCTTACTTGCTCTTGTGACATAGGTTTGGGGCCCACATGGGGGCGATCCTACGTGGTGGTGCCCACCAATTGCCATGAATCTGGCTCGAACTTTTACGCGAATTTCAGCTTCCAAGTACGGGTGCTCTCACTTCGGGAAACTTGAGGAGCAGGGCATCTATGGGCGAGTTGGCTATGGTGGCCTTATGGCAGTGAAGGCTTGCCAGGACGAGAGTGCCACCAGCTTGACTCCAGAGATTGAAGAATGCTTCGAGGTGATCGAAGCAGTGATCCGTTTCGAGCCAAAACGTGAATTTCCAGTTTTCCCAATGGAGCGGCTTCGATTTTTGGCTGCATCAGATGCAGCTGTCAAAGCGGAGAATCCAGGATCAGGCGGTTTTCACCTCATCTTTTTACAACCCGACAAACGGGAATTTCCCGTGCTGCGCTTCGAGCATCTGCGCTTCCTCGCGGCATCAGATGCAGCAGTTGAAGCAGACAATCCAGGTTCAGGAGGTTTTCACCTGATCTTTTTCCAGTCAGACGGATCACAAATTCGTCACAGTTTTGTGGCCAACAATTGTGCAGAGCTTCAGACACTATGGCAGCCTGCAGAAACCCACATCGCCCAGCTGGAACTCTCGATGGTGCTCTACGCCTTAGTCGAAAGACCTGACCTGTTTCGAAATCGACACGGCCTCTGGTTTTTGGACAATGTTGCAGCCGTCATGACGCTAGTGAGAGGACGTTCTAGCCATGCCGACTTAGCGAAGCTAGGTCATTTGATCCACTTAGCTCTGTTTGCACTGCGAGCCCAGGGTTACTGGGAGTACGTCCAGAGCAAGAGCAACTGGGCTGATGACATCAGCCGACTTGGCGTCAATGATCCATGGTGGCGATGCCATGGTTTTGAATTTTACTCGTCGTATCTCCCGACCATCTTTTTCCAACTGCCTTTTGTTGCTGTCATTCTCACCTTTGAATTCCTTTAGTGCTTTGGGAAGTTTAGTGCATTGGGTGATACCTGCAGAGCAGGTTCCAGCCTGGAGTTCCAGGTAGCTGACCAGTGGTGAAACTGGTCTGGGGCTATGTACATGTCACACAGTGACAACCCAAAGCAAACCTGAGGATTGCAGGTGACATTGACTTAACATAGGCTTGGCTGTGGAAAAAAGGAAGCTGCGAGAGCGCGATCAGTATCGAGTTTCAGATGGCACTTTGAGATGTACCCATGCATTGAGTTTGGCAGGCTTGGGTGTGCATGTATCATCTTTAAGTGATCCAATGAATGCTTTCATTTTGGCTCAAGTAAACTTGAACCAAAATAGCATTCATTGCTTTTTCTTTCCCCACCCTCCCAACCCTAAGAGCCGACCTCCCGTGGAGACGTCCGCCTAGGTTAGGGGAGCCTGCAAGGCAGGCGAGTACATAGCCTCTATCGGGGATCCTCTCTTGGGGTGACCAAGAGAGGCCTACCATCCCTTAGGTTAAGGGACGGGTGATACCTGCAGAGCAGGTTCCAGCCTGGAGTTCCAGGTAGCTGACCAGTGGTGAAACTGGTCTGCTATGTACATGTCACACAGTGACAACCCAAAGCAAACCTGAGGATTGCAGGTGACATTGACTTAACATAGGCTTGGCCGTGGAAAAAAGGAAGCTGCGAGAGCGCGATCAGTATCGAGTTTCAGATGGCACTTTGAGATGTATATATATATATATATACATAAATATATATGAGCAGAAGGCATTGCTTGGTCTTTTCACAGCAGAAAACACTGGGAGTTCTACTTGGGGATGGATCCAGTCAGCTATGAAATATATATTGAAATATGAAGAATTCCCATTGACATATGATGAAATACGATGGACATATATGAAATATATTGAAATATGATATATCTTGATATACTTTGGGAATTTGAAGATCCATTTCCACCAGCTATTTTGGCGTTGTCACTTCAATACTCTTCATGTGAAATGGCTCCTTTGGATAAAACCAGATTAGGCTCTTGGGATCCACCCATAACTTAGGCCCATCGTTTTTCGATCAACCAGGAGTTCTGGGAGCCGATGGATTTTTGGGACTGGTCATTCTGACATTGGATGGATTTAATATATTTTAATACGATATGATGGGAATATTACCAGGAAACCAGTGCATCAGCTGCTTCAACCATCAAGTAGTCACGTTTTCCTCTAGATTTTCCTCTAGATTTTCCCATGTTTCCCTTGATCCATTTCTGGCAAGGACACTGCGTGGAGTTCTCAGTGAATCCACGAGTTGTACTGGTACGGGATGGCGGGATGGCACATGGATTACTTCCGGGATATCTTCTGGTAAATTTGAGAACCCTTTATATACATGGATCCGTACCAGATATTGAATCTTGAATGCTCCAAAGTGATTGAACGTTCTGAATCTAGTGATGCAATGTGATGCAATGTGATGAAAATACATAGCCATAGCCTTTTCCGCTCCAGAAAGAAAACTGGGGATACTCAGACCTGCGGGAAGTCATTTGCAGGTGGTTTCCCTGCAAACTTCGTGACCTTCACAATATACAAACAGATCATTTGCAATGCCTGCATTCATTGCATCATGGCCATCCTCTGTGGCGAAAACCGGATGACTGATTTGGAACCCTGAATCGGTATCTCGTTTTCAGCATGTCATTAGTCGTCACCATTTGCAGGTGGATTTGGAACCTCTGGGCTTTGGGTGGAGACAGTGTCCCTGTGTTTGCGCAACGAGGATCATCCTCCAATCCACTGACCCAGGGGTACGCTTCATTGCACTAGATGGTCATGCTGCAGAACTTTCTGCAGCCAATTCCTGGACACATCTGGACATGACCCTGGCACAAGTCTTGTGAGCCTCGGTGTCTTTTGCATGTGGGGTGTGGTTCACCAGGTGGCTTCCAGCGAGACGTCCAGTTTGCCGGTGCTGCTAAAATCTCCGCATTTCTTTCGAGGCTCCCTGATTGATCTGGGTGGGCCTGCTTCAAAAGTTGCATCATCTTATAACACTCGCCGGAGATTGTGTTTGTCAGAGCAGATTTGCTCAACTCTGGCCTTGGAATGCCACAAATTGTAGAGTAGCTCTTTTTCACCAGTGCTTGCCGTGTAGCCGTGTAATGTGGTCATGCAACATTCAACCCGTTATCGTGGGTGGTCTCACCACATATTGAGCAGTCTTGTTTACATGCAGGACATACGTAAACGGATTTCTCTACTTGTCGACGCTCCATCACATGTATGTTCTCTCTGAATTTGGGGACCGTTTTGCTCTAATCTCGCTGACGAACTGTTGCTCCATCAACAAGCAACTGTGGCTTGAAAACTTCCCTCTAGCTATCCTTGGTATCCTTTGTACTGGCACACCAGATGGGGGCATACCTGGCCACACCAGGATTCTGTTGCGTTCCAGTGGCTTGGCAAGGGCGACAGGCCAGATGTGGAAATCAAGGCAACAGTGCCTGCTGGTATAACGGTTGAACACCAGAGGAGACGGGAGACCACTGGTCTTGGCACCGTCTAAAACAATCAAATATAGGTGGCCAAGACCTCCACTCGCTCTGTTTGTTTTCAATATGAAGGATAACAATCCGTGGTTCTCTGTAGGGCCACGCTGGGTCTCTGTTCCTTTGCCAGGTCAGCTTAGGCATTGCGCACATCAAGTTGGCCCCTCAGACAACGTGAAACTCATGCTGCTAACCCTTTTCAGCCCCTGGGGCTCATGAAGCACGCAACATATGCTTTAAATATCTTTAAATTCTGATAGTGGAGGATCACAGTTTTTGTTCTCCGAATGCTCTTTTGTGCAGTCAATAGGCAAAGACAGAAGCTGATTAAGCCTGAGGATCGTGCATGAGAAGTCTATTGTCCGATATGCACATGAAAGACACATGGACTTGAAGGATTCCCGAATAGTTATGTGACAGATGACGTTGGACCTAGAAAATCACATGATCCACATTGACATCACGCAATGTATCCAAATTGATTTTTTGCACATTCACCGATGGCTCAGCGAAGAACCGCCAGGTGGCATGCTACGATGGTGGCCACTTTCCACCAGCATCCCACTAAATATTGTTTTGCCTTGAAGCACATTGTATCTTCATTGCTTTGACTCAAAGGCTTTGACTCATTTTCAGAGGATCCTAGCTGTAAAAACCACACAGTTCAATAATCACCCGACGCCATGCCGTTGAAAGTGGGCGATAAGCTTTCCGACCTGAGTTTTGGCTTTGACAAAGGCAGCGGACCGCGAAAACGCCTGCCATTATTTTCCAGTCTCGATTTACATCCAATGCAAATCCGTACAAGGGAGCCATAGAACTGATTTGACACACCTTAATTTACTCATTAAATGTCATGCAGGCCGTGCACTTTAATGGTAGAGAGCATTGAATCCAAACCAACACCGTGTTGCTCAGGGGTCGTGTCTCCACTGTTGATTATTAATTAAAGAACGGATACCCCACGGGTCCCCACGGGGCTTTTCTTTATTTGTGGTGTAAGGTCACTTGCTGTACCTGGGAACCTCCTTCGACGCTGCAAAGCTGCAGGTTTTGGGGTGGCCGAAATCAAAGACGTGCGATGTCACTGGGTTTGCACATGCATCAAGGTTGGACGCTGGGTCAGCCTGGGCACCACTGCGGCCTGTTTCCAACACTTGAACTTGGATTGCAGTGTGGCATGTACGAGCCATTTCAGGATTTTTTGTGGACTATTGGCTGCAGGATGAAGCATGAACCAATCATCTGTGGCTTTGCAGATTGGCTTGCAAAACTAAAAGGTGAAAGTAAAACCGGATCATTTGCAAGCTGCTTGTGCGCCTCAAAAAAGGTGGAAGGATGTGGACCCCTGCTTCGCATTGGCTCAGGTAAGGCCAAAGAGAAAAACCGAATGGTCTTCACTCTGAAGGCCTTGTGAGCACCAATGGGTCCCATGTTGTAGAAGAAACATCACTAATAGATTATAGACTTGAGCCACTTGCAATTCCATCAGCTTATCTTTCGAGATCTTGATGGCCTTGCCATATTTCCCCTCCAAGGTGGTGTTAAAAGGCCTGGCATATCAACTTTCATTTTTTAGACATTTGGCAGGATGATCCCCACCAAAAAATCTTTGGGAGGGTTAGAGCGCAGGAATCATCCACGTGACCCATGGTGACCCTGATGGGACCCATGATGTGACGCTAGGTGGGACCCGAGCACATGAATGCCTTGCAGACGATGCATGGAGCCTTTGCCATGTTGCTCTTGGACGTTTTGACGTAGCCTGGCACAGAAGAGCTTTGTGATGATAAATAAATAGATAAATCTTTCATCTTCAATTGGCATCCAGTGGTTATATAAGTGGTGGTTAAATGGTTGGTGCTTTGGAACCCTGGGGATATTTGTAAACTACTGGGGAGGACGATTGCAACTAACGACACCCCAAAGTGGAACAATTTTTGTCTTCGAAGTGGGTTTGTTCCCAGTCAACGTGAATCTGAATCGATGGATGGCACGGTTGAACGTCAAGAACACATTCAAGCAGGCTGAACTTGTGAACACCAGGATGAACAGAATGGGATAGTGTTTGCATTAACTGCAGCATATACCGTTAATATACCTATACCAGTATCGTATAGCTTCATATGATCATTTGCAGGGTGGTGGAAACATGTGGAAAGGCAGCAGCCTCTAGATGTGTGGTCAGCAAAGCTGCATCCATCTGGAAGTTGGAATCTGGGAGTTGTTCTTCCTGAGATTGGCATCTTCGCTTGGTCAACCTGCCGATTTGGTGTGGTTAGTGCCCTATCCGGGCATGTTTCAACCTTGAGTACGCCATGGTACTCTAAACTAGATAAATTCCTGGAAATGATCAGCACGAGGATTTTCTCTAGTTTTCTGCTTGAATCTTGAAAAACCACCAGGTTAAATCTGTGGATTTTGGAACTGTAACGCCATGATTTTTTCTGATCAAACGACTTTCCCCAGAACTGTTACGACAATGGACCTGGTGATGAAGCCCACGGTCTCTGTCAACATGGCAGGTTGGAGATGGGAAATGATGGGAATCCACAGTGAGGGGTATAAACATGGGATACCATTTTTTTGGACTTGACAAACTAACCGTAAAGACTACCCTGGTCTTTTGAGTCTTGGATCTTGCAAGTACTGCAGCTGGCTTGTGCGGTTATCCAGTTATCCAATGTTATCCAATGTTATCCATCTGGTGAAGGTCAGTACCAGGGGGCAGCAAAGCCGGGGGAAGAGCTGGTCATGGATTGCCGGGTTGAGAAGGCCGGGGTGCTGGATGGCTTTGAATCCATTGAATCCATATGATGTTATCCACCAGAGATATGATTGGGATATGTAGATGTACATGGCTGTGATCCATCAAGAACTTGGAATAAACACGAATAGAATGATTAGGTCGAGTTATCTTGAGTTATTTTATGTTGACTGTCACAGGGTTGAAGTTTGGAAGCCACTCTAGTCACAGTCTTGGAAGATCTCTGAATTTGTGTGCTGCATCAGGCTGTAAGAGTTGCAACCTGTTGTGGTTGGGCCCGACAGACTCCAGGAGATAGCAAAGCAAATGCGGAGCCAGACAAAACTTTTAGACACTTGTAGGCAGCTTTTTGGCTATGTAATCAAACAATTTATGGTGATAGTACAATCTGTAAACACACGCGCCTGAGCAGCGTTTTGTCACGCTCCTTTGCGACCAGGCCGGGAAGAGCTTGGCCTACTTGTCCATGTGACTTGATGACCTGAGGGCACCAGTTGTTTTCATGTTCATTTTTGCGTTCATAGTATTAATATATATATAGTATCTGTTTTGGCATTTATTTTTTATTTAATTTTTTGTGTTTCTCATGTTTGTCATGCTTGTCATTTTTATCATCCTTAGCTGAACCTTCTTCACCTTCACCTTCACCTTCACCTTCCCCTTCGCATCATCATCATCGTCATCGTCATCGTCATCGTCATCGTCATCATCATCATCATCATCATCATCATCAGCACCACCAGCACCAGCACCAGCACCAGCACCAGCACCAGCAGCACCAGCACCAGCACCAGCACCAGCACCAGCACCACCATCATTATTCAACTGAGGACTATCAAGTCAGGAGACAAGATTGTGCGCGGCGCTCAGATGGTCAAGTGAAAGCATCAAAAAAACACAATGGGCTCTGCTTTTGAGGAGGTTGTGCTGCAATTCCAAGCAGATCTCCTTGGAATTTTTGGCCACTGATTCTGTTCATCGTACCTGTCCATCTCCTTAAACGAACTTTGTTTGGCTCTTCACTTTCATTCGAACCGCTGGATGATGGAACAAACCCCAGTCACCCCTTGCGGTTTACTCAGGTTACTCTCCAGTATTATTAATAATGTAACATCTATCAAAACGTGCAGCAAAGCACAAGTTAGTAGATAGATAGAATATCTAGTAGCATTCATTAAGAATCAGACTCAACCACTTGGCTGCTGTATTTAAACGCAGATGCGGTGTGTGGCTTTATGGTATGAATGATACAGTATCCCATTCACGTCCCATTCACCAACCCTTTGCTAACTCCAAGATTGCATGCCCCTTCAAATGACGAGCCAGAATTCGCAGTTCATTAAGGGTTGATTGATCGCAAAAGGGGACCCCGTCACCAGCCGTTCCAGTCCAGGTTTACGGGCCAGCAAACCAAGATGTTCCTCTCTTCGAAGCTATAAATGACTGGAAAAAAAACAGCTGCAGCTGCTCGGGCGATGTCATGCATTGGCCCTCGTGATGAATGGAGCTTTGTATCTCAGCCTGCTGCTAGTGAGGGATACAAGACTGGTCGACCCTGCCGAGGTTCAATCGCTATGTTTTTCTTCATTGTTTTTACGCAACCAACCCAAGACGCCCTTTGAGGCGCGGATGATTTTTGAGCAAAACTTCATTTCCAGTGGCAGAATTATTTACAATTGGGGTTGCCCATCATCATTTTAGATCCCCCTAGGTTAAGACACTGAGTGCAATTTGTTTTTTCTTGGGAGTTTGCGGCCGCAGCTTGGTATCTCTTTGTTTTTGTTGAAATGGGGAAGGGATTTGGCGATGAATCCATGCACGATGAGAATGTCAGGAGGATTGGGCAGCTAGCCACTGAGGGTGTATGGCGGTACATCCCAATCGATTTGCTTCGATTCTGGGGCTGGGTCAATAAGTTCAAGACATTTTTTTGTAATGCGGGATTGGCTGGTTCTATTGGCATGCTATTTGAGGTTGCCTTACATCCCCATGTTTGTTGGCTATCGGCTATCAGACTATCAGCGACAAACCCTTTTCGGATGATAAGGTTCCCAGCTTTGCTTGTCTGTTCCGTTGTATTTTACTCGACTTTACGGGTTAGACCATGGTACACCCATATTTGTTTCTTTGCTTGGAACTTGTGGAGAGCAAGTAATGCGTTGTCGGTATAGCTGCCAAAATGGCTATGCCATTTTGTCTCAAGCCTCCTCATCTTGAGTTTGTTTTGTGTCGAAAAATCTACGCCTCTGACTTTCGTTGTAATGGCTGCCATGGACTCTTCGATGGTGGAAGAGGCTTCCTCGGTGGGGGAGGACTATTTGCTTTTGGATACCCCCATGTCGGAGGAGACCAAACCGTTTGAACCAACCTTGGTCGACATGGATGTGAATGTGACCAAGGAAGACCTGGATGCCCAACTCACGGAGCTTCGGGGCATCATGTCCCGGATGGGCCTTGACAGCAAGTCGGTGGACCCAGAGGGCGCGGGGCAGTCTGGTCCACCCCACGAATTCGTGCAGACCTCCCAGCCTCACCACCAGGACAATGTCAAGACCCTGGAGAACGAGTTGCTAAACCTGGCATTGGACAAGGCCTCGGGAACCTGTTTGATTGAAGGTTGGGAGACGCTTTTGCCGCCACTCCCGGACTCGGTGGTCCGCTTCGCTCGGGTAGTCAGTCGGCCACGGGGAACTCAAAGCTCTCCTTTCGGAGTTCCGCACTTCTTCATGTTCGGCTCCTTTGGTGGCACGGATCCTGGAGGTCTATGTCATCGTAAAGCATTCGGCTGCCCACAACTAATCCATGCAGATGCTGAAGGTAAAACACGTCGATGAAGGGGGGGCTCGATGGAGGACCTCAAAGAGAAGGACCCTGGCTCATTGCCTTCCTCACTCATTTGTGCTGCTTGCAACGCTCCTTGGAACACCTTTCAACTCAGGTCCGACCTGGGTTTTGTATGGTTTTGTCTGATTCCAAGGGTACCAAGCATGCCGGCTATATTGACGTTGGGGACCTAGGCCGACCTCCCCCGGCAGCAGCCTCTGGCGCTGACCCGGCTTTGGTCAGTTTCTCAGAACAAGTGCCGGAATCCCAGCGCATTACACTCAGGCAATCGCACTTGCTCTCAGAAGAGTTGTCAGAGAGTGGCATGCAGGCCCATCCTGCCTAACATACGGGACACTAAGACGGCCTCGCTTTTCCAGCGGGGTTCAACCCAGCCGATCCTTTGACGGCCGAACACAACATCTTGGCCCGTCGAACTGCAATGCTTGGCCTCATTGCAGTCCTGAGTGGTGTGTTCTTTAGCTGTGAACAGCCAGGGTCATCTGTCATGTTTCGGTGACACCTTTTTCGGGTCTTAGTCCAGGTTGGTTGTGTTATCACCCGCATGGCCTTCTGTAATTTTGGATCAGCCTTTAACAAGCCATCCCAATGGTTACATAATAAGGGCTGGTTGTTGGAACTAGAGGGGTCTTGTAGTTGCAGATGGAAACATCAGCATTTTGTAGTGCAAGGCAATTTCACACGTGCCAGCATTGAGGAATTTGAGTCTCGATGCGTTCCAGATGCTGCCACAGTATATGGGCGATTGCCGAAGATCGGAGAACCAGTGTCCAGCTTCTCGGCCAGATACCCGTGTGCTCCAATGAATAGGATGGCCCAAGACAGTTGCGCTGCTCGTGCATCAGGGGTTCCAATCATTCCCATGCAAGAACACGTTCGCAGTCTTGCTAGAGTTGGCCTCCCCGAGCCTTCCGGATTTGCCAAGCACTTGTTCACCGAGCCATTTGAACCAGTCCCCACAAGACAGTGGCTTGAAGATCCTGAATGGATTGGTGAGATCGCTGATTCCCTTTTGTTTAAGACTCTTTTCCGATACCGCTTCAAACTGCCAAATCATATAGATGTTCTTGAAAGTCAAGTGTTTTTATCATGGATCAAACATTGTGCTAAGTCCCACCGTGACAGTCGTTTGCTTGGTTTGCTGGATAGCAGGGTCACCATTGGCGCGGCAGCTAAAGGTAGATCTAGTAGTTTCGCCATTTCCCGGGTTTTAAAGAAAAGTATCGCATATCAAATTGGTTCGAATATATACCCAGGTTCTCTCCATGTGTATGTATTCTAGCAAGAACCGGGCCGATGCCCCTTCCCGTGACCGCGAGGTTGAACTTCCTACGAAAGCAGTCCCGTTTTGGATGCAACAGCTTCTTGAGGGCGACTATCGCGCCTTTGATCTCGTCTGTCAGTCGGCAGGCTATCCGAAGCTGCTGGGGAGATGGGTCCGTTTGCTGCTCCTCCTTGCTGGAGACATCTGGAGACATTGAAAGGAATCCTGGGCCTAGTCGAACCTGTCAACCCAGAGGAGATTTAGATCTCTCCGTTGGCTTTTGCAAGATCACTGCAAATCGCATGTCAAAATGCCTCGGAGCCTTTGCACGCTGGCTTGACGTTGAACTGCAGTTGAACTTTGATACAGTGGCGGACGCTCAACACACTGCCTTAGCTTTGCGTGCCTACGGCATGCATTTATACAAACACGGGTTTCCCAGATACCTGTTTGTATACGCAGTGACTGCGATCCAGGACCAATATCCTCAGCACAGACCTTTCCTTAGTGGAGCTTGGCATATTGACCGGAAGTGGCAGATTGCAGAGCCCGGGCGTTGCCGCACAGTTCTGTCACTTCCCATGTTCAGGGCTGCATTATGTTTATCTCTGCTATTGAGTTGGCCGCGGTGGACAGCGGTCACTATGTTAGCTTTTTCAGGTATGCTGCATTCCGCCGAATTTATTCAGCTGACCCGTCGCGATTTGATGTTGCCATGAGACACAGCGCACGCTGTCTCAGTTTTGTATGTCCATCTCCGCAGTCCGAAGACCTTTCGGTTTTCCCGACAGCAACATGTGAAGATCTCTGATCCTGATATCATATCCTTTGTTGATTCGTTGTTTGGGACTGCTCCTTTGGATTGCAAAGTCTTTGGTGGAACAATCAGTAGGTATCGAAATCAATGGAATGCTGTGCTGGAAAAACTTGGAATCCCTTGCC